GTAGCCGCAAACAGTGACCTTATTTGGCACGGAATGAGCGTCTTTTATCCACCGGATAAGCCAGATACGCGAGTCTTGTTCTTTGTCAACCACCAGAGAGGCTCGTCGGTTATATCGGTCTTCAATTACACTATAGGTACCGACTACCTTCAATTTGTCAGTGACGTGATCTCGCCTCTAATTGTGACTCCCAACGCTGTTGTCGCGGTCTCGGAAACATCATTCTACATCACAAACGACCACATGTTCCGCAAGGGCATGGCCCGTATTGTCGAAGACACTTACGGGCCATTCCTCTGGTCTAACATCGTCTACTGCGAATTCAAGGCCGGAGTATCGATGTCAAAGTGCTCAGTCAAGCAAAAAGGCTTCTCGTATGCGAATGGTATCATGCTCGTCGACGAAGGCAAAAAGTTAGTAGTCACCGATACTCGTCTTGCAAAATACTCCGTCTTCAACGTCGATCCTCTCACCCACGACCTCGACCTCGAATTAGCAGTTTCGGCGCATACTTCTTTAGACAACATTTCTGAACTTCCATCAGGCGATATCCTTGTCTCGGCATTCCCCAACGGATCTTCAATCTGGCCAAAGATCGAGGCACCATTTGACCCCGAAATCACGTCCGAGAGTATGACTCTCCTGCTCAAGAAAGATGAAGCATTTGCGATTCCGCATGTGGTATTCTGGGACGATGGAAAAGTTATGAGTGTAATGACGTCCGCGTCGTATGAGGTCAGGACTCAGAAACTGATTGGAGGCGGCGTATGTGCCCCCGGCATACTTGTATGTGACATCAACAAAAGCGTCTTTGGTCTATAATGTTTTTAATTAATATTCTGTAATTCATTTACTTCTGTAAATCACTAAAACTTTTCTGGCTTTTTCTTAAATAAAATAAAAGTAAAGATCATATTGCGTATAAACTACAGAGATTATAGTACGCGACATCTATATGGCACCAAATCCTTCGGGAATCTTACTCATTCCGACCGGCAATCCCTCGTTCAACCGCTTAAGCGTCAACGCGGCAATCAGCGCCGCCCCAACACCACTTCCATCCTCGGCAGGCAATAACTTGACCGGATAATCCTTCGGGTTCGCCTCTGTCCATCCAAATATCTCCTTGAGAGCCTGCGCACCTCGCTCCTGGAAGTTAGGATACTTGTTAAATACAGACCCGTCGGCTCCAGCATGACAAGCAGTAATTCCCTTCTTCTTGCAAATAGCAGCTACACCACACGCGGAAAGTCTCGCAGCACGTGTACCAATCAACTCTGCCAGTCTGCGAAGAAGTTTGCGCTCTGGTCCCGTGGTTGTAATCAAGAATCGTCTGAGGAAAATCTCCTCAACCTCAGACAAATTTTCAAATGGGTCTTCTTCAATCTGCGAGAGCAATGATGCATCAATAGAGTAAGGCACTTTCAATTTTTCAACATCCTGCCTCTCGAAAATAAATCCCTGAGCATGTAAATCAAGCATAATCAAACGCTGAATTTCGCCAAGATAAAGTCCCGCGATCATCTTTTCAAAGGACTGCTGATTTGGACGCGGCGATTCATTATCAATCTGTACATCGTAAGCCGTTCGAGGAAGAACCACGTGCTCGTTGTCAAAGGCACCCCATTCGCAATTAATTGCCATCGGCGTGTCGGGCGGAAGATCTACGAGTCCTTCAAGTTTAGGAATATTTCCAATAGTCTCGAAATAGGCAGCTACGACAAAGTCAGTGAATAAAACCCATGTAATAATTCCTAGAACTTCAAACTCACCGTTACAACCAGTACCAAAAATAAGGCCCATCTGCGTCTTGGGATCAGTGTAGTTAGAAGCAACCATTGTGCCAGTAGTATCGTTGATCAGCGCGGTCACTTTAATCGACACATTTTTGCGCTGCAGAGCGGCTTCAAGCATTGGCTGCACATCATGGCCCTCAACATTATCAATATCAAAACCCTTCGTCCATCGTTGCAATATTCCTTTGTTAATCGCTGATTGCCTAGTTTACATGTTAAAATACTATTATCAAAATAGTCAAAATCAGAAATACGCATACGAGCAAGGATAACTAAAAGTGAACCCAAGATGAAGAGAGTCTTCACCTTCAACAGACTCATGATTCTCCTCAACAAAAGATTTGAGACAGTCGGCAATATAATCCCAAAGCTGCTCAGATGACCCGGTTTTCATCTCGGGCGGCATACGATATTTGCTCTGAATGACGTCAAAATTACGATTACCAAGGAGCTCGACTTCGACCACTCGCAGATTGGTACCGCCCATCTATTATTAATCATTAGTAGCGCGTTAAGACACTAGTCAAATAATATTACATACATCGAGAGCGAGGTACTTTCCAGTTTCGTTGCCTTCGGGCATGTTCATCACCCAGGTCGGGATCATTGGCTGTACTAGTCAGTACAAGTTCAATATCAGTTCAACAAATCAAGATCATACAATATTTCCACCCTCTTTAGACAGTCCTATTAAGATATAATGAGTACCAACGATTTAAGATTATGAAATGATGATGAACATTATAAAACTCACCTTTTTCAAGCTCCTTCACAAAGTGATCAACGATTTCGCACAGCTTCGTAGTCTCGACAGTCAACAGCTTTTCCAACTGCGCAATTTGCTCAAGCAAGTCGCGTGGAACGTCAACCATTGATCCCTAAATTCGATAAAGCGTCAGCATATCTTACAATTCCAGACAGATCAATAGAGCTCGCATCGGATCCGACTTTACCTTGCGGGAGGGCGGCTTCTTCGGACCTAAGTGAACCATAGCGACGTATGTAAATCAGAAAAAAGGACAGTAATAGAGAAAATTCAAATATTTGAAACAGAATCTTCTACGCGATGCAAGATAGATCCCACGAATGTAAGAGAGTAAGGGAGCAGGAAAGTCAAACAGGGAAGGATGGATATACGAAAGCTAGTCCCAATATAGATGCACGTGCGAGGAGTAGACAAGCGTCCCAGCGAAGATCTTCAGGGTTTTCGTAGATCATTAGAGCTTTGCTACTGCAATATACCCAGGTATTTGATTATTCAATTTGCCGAATACATTTGAATGAGTTATCTAGTTGATTTATTATCGTATTTTACAGAATGCAGCGATGTGGTGTTAGTAAGTGAACTACATTTGCATGTGACGTCATATTTCAAATTGCAGAAAACTGCAACGGGAATACTCGCGCGTTTCTCCATAACTGCTTTATTTATTGCGTCAGTTTATTGTTTTTGTGATTATAATCATATATATTAAAATCTTAGCAGCTATTGATTTATGATCTTTCTCTATTCTGAAACACAGCACAGAAAAGTTTGTAGACGATTTCCCGAGCCGCTCCTTGAATGAACAGAAGGCCTTCTTTAAAAATCTTATTCATCAATATTGTCAGCCATTATCTCAAAAGAGGCTAATATAATAATATCAACTGTATTTTTTCCCAACCTCTAGCCTTCAACAAAATAGATTACATAAAACTTGGGAACAGTGTCATTTGAAACTGCACAAGGTCTTGTTGGTTGCTAAAAGTCAACAGATCGTCTTCCCCAGCCCGGCCGGCCGCTATCATTCAAAACTGTGCAGTCCCAAGTAACCCTGCAACCTTTCAAGCGCAACGTTTCCGCTTAATTCCATGAGAGGTCCTAGAAACCGCTCTATTACTCTTTACAGTAGACAGTTTTGAGGTAACGCAGTCACTTCTGGTACAGCAATGCTTCTTGCTCATCGCGATCGCAAACAGTTCATCCTCATAGGTCATTACTGCTCCATTAATCACGACTTTTCCTTCCTCAATGCTCTTCCTATCAACTGCTGTTCGATCACCGACATATACAGATATTGGTATTTTTTCAGAAAATCTAACGGTCTGCTGCTGCATAGTAAGAGGTCTACCACCACATTGGCGTCGCTTCAAAGTATTACAGTATCGCGAGCCGGCAGTACATAGAGAATTCCGATTCTCGTTAAGACAGGAAGGATGAAATACACCGCTTTGAGAGACTGGCTCTTGGCAGACGCGGCATTTATAACGATACGAGCGGCATACGGGAGCGTAGGGGGTTTGATTGTCTAGTAAACCATAGCGCATCGGAAGATATCGTAGAACAAAATTCTTACTTTTTTCAACCGCTTCGCCAATATCCTTATATCTCTGCAAATCACCTCTACCAGGTCTGTTTTCCTCTTGGTCGGACTGATGACCTGATGGCGGATCGTCTAGGTTGAACTTGTGCGTGAATAACTCGACAACGTTTCCGAGAATAATATTGGCATATGCCAGAGCGGCAAAGCAGATTACAGACATTGGAATATATGACGACCAGACGGCGACAGAAACAGACGCACAGATGTCAAGTACACCTGTCACAGAAGCAGAGAGAGTATAAAGACTACTTGCGAAATTTCTTATAGAAAAGGCGAAGAGTGTCTGTATATCTGCACCTATCGTTTGAAATAAAATTCAAGTTCCTTGCTTTGTTGATATTTGCGCTGCGACGCGTTCTGGCTAAACAATCACTCTGTAAGCACACTGAACTAAATTATAGAAATCATTATCAAAACATCAACAACTTATCGCACAGAGATTTAATGGAAAAAAAAAAAGAAGGCGAAGACAACATCCAGTAGAAAAAGAATCAATGGAGTAGAAATGGTATGCGAAAAGTAAAGCAGACCGCGAGGGTATTGTCTACAAGCGAAAAAAGCCGCCAGCTTTCAAATTGGACTCGTGCCTCTATACGCCTAGCGCTTGGCACAGATATCGATTTAAATAGACTGGTTTATTCTATGATTGGAAATTGACGATATCCAAATTACGGTAATTATATTGAGATTCGTCGTTGTGCAATCTTGCCTGCATAGTTTAATATATTATTCAGTATGGCATAAAATCACAAAGATTTGCATAGCCTAAATCCATTATCAAGGTTAGGGATTTTGCGTATTGCCTTATATTGAAATAGAATATTTGAATAGCTAAATTTATGGAGGGTTGGCCGAGTGGTCTAAGGCGGCAGACTTAAGTTTTCAAAATTTAAGGGTTATCTGCTGAACGTAAGTTCGCGCGAGTTCGAACCTCGCATCCTTCACCATATTTTTGTGATTTTATTTTTTGGATTTTATTTTTCTGCGTGCCACATGTTGCTTGATTCCTTTTTGCTGTTGTTGAAGTTACTGGTGGTCATGATTATCATTTTGGGTGGCATGAAAGTGCTTGTGAATAGGATTTGAAAGTGCGGCATATCAGCTCTAGCTGAAATTTTAACCACAAGGCCAACAGTAACATAGTAGTAAGATAAATCGTATTCATCTTTTAAATAGTTTAATTCATATAACGCCATATTGTACAATCAAGAATCCTTTAGAAACTCCAAGCTGAAAAATAAAAACTAGCTAAACTCCATTCTCCGTTTTGGGGTAGCACCCACCGCATCAGCATTCTCTCCATTCGAGCCAGGTATTTGCGCCGCAGCTGCTGATGCAAGCATGTTCTTATCAGGTTGATGATAAAGAACGACGAGGTATCTGCTTTGGAAATTGAAACCTGACAGTTTGTCACACGCAGTTTTGGCGTCTTGGAGCTCATCATAGACTACGAATGCGGTGCCTTTTGTGCCTTGTGCGTTGCCGAGTCGGATTTGCCTGATGCATATTAGCTGAGTGCCTATTTTTGTAGTTAAGAAAAAAAAAGTAAATACCTTATTGAGCCAAATCTACCGAAGAGATCGTAGAGTTCTTCAGAAGTGACATTGTAAGAGAGATTCTTGACGAAGAGGATTCTGTTGATTTCCGCTGAGATTTTCTTTATAATAGTCAGCATATAATACAGCACTTTTCAATAACAGCGTCACATACCCGTGAATTAAATGACATTTTATAAGTTGACTCTTACTGGTCAAAGTCCAAATAACGAGAGCAGAGAAAGCTGAAAGCTCGAAGCTCGAAGCTGAAAAGAAGGTGCGTACAAGTTCCGGGTAACTTTTGCAGTTGCGACGAGACTCGCGTTCGCAACGTGTCCCCTCGGTCCAGAACTAGCACCCGCACTTTTTGATATCAGCTCAATTGGGTTGAATTGTGTGTTTTAGTGTGTCGATAGATAATCATATCTACTGTATATACTATTATTAACTGTGTATGAGTCTATTGGTTGATTGCTTGCGAAACAAAATCCCGATCATACTTCAGCATGCGATTTACGGCTCTTCTACCAGCGCTGCTTGTCGGCGTCGCGGCATTCACTCCTCCATCGACTGACTTCACTGTGCGATCTTACTTACGTACAGTTGATCTTATGAAGTCGTACGTTCGCGACAGTTCGTCATTCATTCTAGAAAACACAGGAGCAGAACCGCAGTCGAGCTTTTATCTCGCTGTTAACGCGAGTTATACCGACACCGAGTCTCCATTATCTGCAAAGCTCGCCATGTACGAGGTTAAACTGAAATCGGATGATGGATCTACATCACTTAAATACACTATCGATGACGAAGTCAATGAGGATCAGATGAAGTATGTCAAGATTGAACTGCCGAAATCTATCGCTGTCGGGCAGAGTGTTACCGTGCAGCTAGCGAGTGCTGTAGTGCGTGAATTGGTTCCGTTGCCAAAAAAGATCAAGCAGGCTGAAGTTCAAAATCTTGTGTGGCAGGGATCTAGAGTCGCATATATTCCCTACCCCGTCGTCAAGCAGCGCACTAAAATCAAGTAGGTGCCCATGATGTTCTATATATCTGATATCATGTATTCGAGATGTTAAACTGTTTTGTCTAGATTTTCGGAACGCCCTGCAAATGCTTATAGCAGATTCAAAGACGACCCGACTATTGATGGGACTGTACTGACATATGGCCCGTACGAAAATATTCCGCCACAGACTTACGAGCCGATCCGCGTGAAGTACGAATACAATCAACCCCTAATCGAAATCACCAAACTTGAGCGTGAACTCTGGGTGTCACATTCGGGAGGTAACCTTGCAACCGAGGAACGATACTGGCTCACGAATTCCGGTGCTGAGCTCACAGATCATTTCTCGCGCGTGCGGTGGCAGGCTACTACCATGGCTCAGCAAAGCACACCGGCGTTGAAAGCTGCCCAGGTACATTTACGAGCGGGTGTGCGTGACGTGTATTTTACTGACGAGATTGGGAATGTGTCGACGAGCAACCTACGGGATGATTACCGCGACCCTGTACTTGAGTTCCGGCCAAGATATCCTGTGTTTGGTGGCTGGAATTATAGTTTTACTCTGGGATGGAATCATGACCTTGCGCGAAGTGTGCGGGAAACTGCGAGTGAGGGCATATATGTGCTGCGCGTGCCGCTTCTGGAAGGCCCCGTGAATGCCATGTATGATGAAGCAGATGTGTTGGTTGTCCTTCCTGAAGGCGCAAAGGTTCTGGCTGTAGATTCAAGCTACAAAGACATGACTGAGGAGCTCACCAGCCTGTATTCTCACCTCGATGTCGTTGGTCGCACGGTCGTAAAGTTATCCGCACGCGATATGACTGACGAACATCGTCGAAACGAGTTATACGTCACCTATGAACTATCTAAAGATGCGCAATATCGCAAACCTATCCGGGTTGCTACTGCTGTGTTTGCTGTGTTCTTTGCAATCATCTTGTTGGGAAAGGTAGATGTCAGCATAAGTAAAAAGGCGTAGATTGCATTGGATCGAATTAGAAAAAAGGAAAATATATGTACGTTTGCTTTCTTTATAAGTCTTACTCAAATGCAGATTCTTCTCGTAGTCTGCTTTGACTTCACTCTCGTCTCTAATCTTCCAAGTCATGGTAAAAGTCTTCCTCGTAGCTGGTTAAGATATCCGGTGCACTTAGCAGCTGCTCCAACAAACCTTGGTTTAAGAACAGGTCATCACCGGGATAGGTATTACTTCCTTCTTGGTGTCAGGTTCGGGACTGCGCACATATAGAGTCGGTGTGGTATACAGTTCTCGCAGACATGACTGGTATCTCTCTGCATAGATTGCAATTTCGTTTGAAATTATTATAGAGAAAACTATCTATTTACTACAGCAGCATTGCTCAACGACGACAGTGTATGCTATGAATATAGTTATCTATTACTAATTTATGACTAATTGATATCCTATATCATCAGTGCTAATTTTGTGCATGACTATTACTACTATAAAACATCACACTGATTTTTATTACTGATTATTTCCTATATAATTCAATCAATATCTTTTCGCCTATGTTTCGAATAACATTTTCACAACTGTCGAAAGATACCCCGTACTAGATAAAGCTCTCTTCCGTTACCCAAGCTTTATACGTTTTTCTTTATTCTCTTTTTTGTCTCTCTAATATCTTGGTAAACTACTTGTGCATTCTTGATATCATCCGCATGTTGAGATAGCCGTACAATGACTCTACCAGCTTCTCAGCAGCAACAGTCTTCACAGTCTCCGCGCCTCCGACCTGCGCGCTCATCGATCGCCTGCAAGCGATGCCATGCATCCAAAATCCGCTGCGATGTCTCCACAAATGGATCTCCCTGCACAAGATGCCGTGAGCGGAATGTATCAGATTGCCAGCTCATTGAGTCCAGACGTGGTTTACACTACCGTAAGGAGTGGATGCGGAGGAGTCGGAGTGGAGCTACTGCGCAGAGTATAAGGTCAGACGACGAGCAAGAGTCCTCGGTGCCAAGCTCAGAAAGTAATTCAGAGATGCAGACTGATGAACTCCAGACTTCGTCAGCCGAGCAGAATTCCTCTCGGCGACAACTCTGCTTTGTGTTGCCGGACACAGCCTTTGCCGGGCAATCTGACCTGCTGCAGAGTCTGCTTGCCTCGACGACAAATCCAGTCGAGTCAGCGTCTTCCTCAGGTTCGAACAGGCCGGTCGGTTATATGCAGACTATTGCTGCCGGCACAAATTCAAAATACGCAAGTGAGCTATGGTCAGTCGTCTTTCGGTGCTTCGTCAGCGACGCCGAGACTGACCGCAACTCTGTCTCATACTTTGGCGACTCTTTTCCTATGGGAGGACTTCTGCAGTCTCTTTCACCTCCTCAGACAGAAGACAGCCGGAGAAGGCAAGAGTCAGCCCGGATAACATCTGCCGTTGAAGCCAACCCACAAAGTCATCCACCACACATGACGCCCGCAAAGATCGCGTATCTTGAATCTGAAAACTGCTTCCGCAAACCGCCACGTGAGATACTCGACCAGTTAATCGCTACTTATTTTGAAATGGTTCATCCTCTTTACGCAATTATCGATCCTGCTGCTTTTATGAAAACGTACAACGAAGACAAGTGTCCATGGATACTACTCCATGCAATTTGCTTTGCTACAGTAACATACTGTCCCATGAGTCTTATCTGCCGCGAGAATGGCTGCGCGCGCCGCGAAGCGCGAATGGTGTATTACTTCCGCGCCAAGTCACTTTTTGATTTTTCTTACGAGAAGGACAAGATTGTGCTGCTGCAATCTGCTATTTTGCTCTCTTTCTGGGGCGGACAGCCACACGACTATTGGAACACTTACTCTTGGATTTCTGTTGCTGTTAATGTGGCTGAGTCTCTCGGAATCCACAAGCGTTCTCCTTCGATCGAGATCTCGGCCGAAGATAAATTACTGTGGAAGCGTATTTGGTCGTGTCTCGTTACGCGAGACAGCTTCTGCGCGGCATTACTAGGCAAGCCATTACGAATTAACCTCTTGCAATGCGACGCAGAGTTTATTACTTTAAAGGATTTAGAGTCGAATTCAGATCCCTTTTTTGGCAGAGAGAACGAGGGCAACACTATTATAGACAGAACCCGCGTTATAGAGCACGGTATGTACGTGATGGCTATGACGCGACTCGCCTTGATTCTACGAGAAATGATCCAGGCTCGCGTGACACAGACAGTCACACTAGAGTTTCTTTGCAAAATGAGGCATGACATGCTTGAATGGACTCGGGAATTGCCGGTGCAGTTGCAGTTATCAGCGCAGAAACAAAGCTCGCCCTATTACATTTACTGCGCGGCTATTTCCCTGGGGTATAATCATCACTTGCTTTACATGCATCAGATGATCTCGGCGTCGACTGCGGGGAACGCAATAAGTCCT